TATTACATGATCACTGCTGAGATGGATATAAGCAAACAAGGTACGAATATAAACAAAAATATACCTATGCAAGAGCAGGAATTCATTCAGAACAATACGAGGAAAATTCCATTGTAAATGTTAACCTGCGAAATATAGCTGTACCTACTTGAGGTTTTGATTAATTAGCAGAGAAGTAAGCCTTAATTGTCCCACACTAAAGACACATTCGCCAAATGTGGACTATATATGTAGGTGTTTTGACCGAGGAAGCGTTGCCTAAAAGCTACAGTTTTTCAGCCAGTCTCCAGCTAAACGCTTGCCAAATTCATTATCCTATTACACCCAGTTGGTACAGGTAGCAGCCAAATTGATATACCGTCCAAGCGCTCGAATGAGGATAGGCTAGTTTGGGGGGTAGGAAAACGATGTATCATTAGTAGGTAGTGTTCCTACTTGTCTTCTATTGGGTTACATTAATCTGAAATGCAACGCCTTCTTAATTTTTTCTTTCAATTGATAAGCCACAGCAGCGTAAAATGACCAAGTTCTCAATTTTCCTTACATTTGAGAAGCTCCGAACGCATTTTTCGATTAAGAATAAGTGCTGTTCTGAACTTGACATTTCCAATTTCAGGAAAAGGACAATTGATAGGCCATAAAGAGAGACCTGGGCACCTTCTGATTTAATCCTATAATTGATTCTATTGGGGCTTTGTAAGCATGGAGAAGTCACAAACCTGCCGGCCGTTTCCGACATCAGATGAAGCTGCTGTGCTCTTTCATCTGTTGACAATTCCTATTAACTCGGTATTCGTAAGTGCGCGTAGTTTGATTGCTAATGTTCTGCATAATAACCATCTCACTACTCAAATAGAATTGTTAGCAAGGAAAGTGTAGACAAGTAGGCCATCCTGGACTAAGTTGCGGACGTAAACACACTCACATCGAGACGACCTCAGAATCGAAATTAGACCCAATTAGTCAGGGTTAAAATCTATATTCTTTGAGCTATGGTAATTTTTTCAGTAATTTTTTTCTACCGCTAACTTATCCTTAGTGTGATATTCCTGTGAGGATCCTGAACGGAAGCTTTAACACAAAACGGAACATGCTATACTTCATTCAGCAAGCAGATCCCCTCCCTCCGAGTGCTAATTCTTTCAGGTTTTCATGCGTACGTTTTCGCTCTCTCTGCTTCAGTGTGGATTTCCGATAATAATAATAATAATATCCTGAGGAAATTGGCGTGGACCTACCTGTATACTGCAAATAGTGCTGTCTCAGATGCACTTCGAGTTCAACCCGGTTGGGGAACTTCTTTGAACAGATTTCGCAGCGCAAGCTGGTTAGCCCGCTGGACTGGAGGAGATGCGGTAACGGGGGTGGTAGTTGCGGTATCTGCGGGCTCGAGCTAATAGGCGGTCCAGTGAATGGGGGCACCGGTAGCTGC